ATTATAATCAGTGTGAACTTTTTAATAACACTGTAAATTTCGAACTATATTCTCTTCGCGAAGGAAGATACTACACGACAATTATTTATAGCATTTTGATTATTTAGAATATATAGAGGTTATTAATTTGTTTAAAAAAACTCCATACTCCAGAGTCTCTTAACAAAATATTAACTATTATAAAATACAATTTAGCGGTTACAAAGAACGAACAAAAAATAAAAGAACACAAACTGAATACAAAAAAAAAAATAATTTTTTATTGAAAATTTCGTGAAACCACTGCCAGCTAGCATTTCTAGGCACGGAAATTTGTTGTCTAACCATAAACGTTTGACAACCGCGTATTTATTACATTTATAAGTAGTAATAAAGTTGTTGTGAACAAGGCGCTATTACATGTAGTATCAGTGCATGCGCATGCGCCACCCAAACTGACGCCAACTCCAGCAGCAGCGCCTAACTGCAACGACACTTGACGTTATTTTCAACTAACTGTCGCTACGCTCAGCTCACAGAGCGGCTCTGCGACGTGTGTGCAACTAATAGSCGTTATCGCGCTGATCGATTACTAAAATTTATTTATTCTTTACAACAAAAACAGCAAAAAAGTTGTGTGATTTTATCCSAATCGCTCGTGTTAAAAATAATTCTGAAGTACAAATCGTGTAATTTATACGCACATGCGCAACTCGTTGTGCGCAAGCGCAWTGAACAACAATAACAGAAAATAGTAATAAAAAAGCCAAAAATATCATAAATTACTCATATCTATGAAGTGTAGACGTAACTGAAGTGCTGAGTGAACCGCGTGTTTGGTGTTGCTCATACGCCCCGCTGCACCCTAAGCTCTCAACTGTAAGCTTCTATTTTGCCTGCAGCCAGCGGCCAGTGTCCATTGGAATTTTAATTTAAATGCAATTTTATTATTGACAATTTTAATTTTAAATTTTATTTGTGTTTTGTTTTTGTTTCTACACAGTGTGTTATGGGCAATGCATAGATGACGACAGTTTTGCATTTATTGAAAATTCCTTTGGAATTTTTTTGTTTAGCTGAAAGTACGCCAATAAATTCAAGTGTWGAAGTGATGAGACAATGGCGAATATGGAGGCGAAATAAAACTATAAAACGCAAATGTTATGAGTGATAAGTTGCTTAATTCGCTTCGAGTGAAGTGTTTATTTTCGTCGAAAACCAAATTGTAATTTGATTGTGTTGAATTGAGCGCAAGAAAAGTGAAAAATTTAATCAAAATTTTATTTTATAATAAAACTAAGTTCATATCATAAACAAAAAACAACAAAAATGGTGCATTCAGTTGATGTTGCGACGATAGCCGGAACAAGTGAAATGGTAATGATTCCGAAAATTTCATATAAATTTCTAAAAATTTAATTTAATATGTAAAAATAATTTTTTTGTTTAGATTCTGGTTTAACCTTACAAGGAAAGATGAAGTATTTTTTAGTACCGATTATTTTTTGTAACGATTAGCTACCATTACCTTAATAAATTGATTGAAATGAAAGGAACTGAAAACTTCTAACATGGATAAGTAAAGCCTTCAAAGTGTAACATATTTCATATGCCAAGTATCTTCTTCTACTTCACTGGCGTAGATCGCTTACGAGAATTTATCCGAGTTAAGAACAGCGCGCCAGTCGTTTCCTCTTTTCGCAAAGTGGCACCAATTAAAGATTTCAAGCGAAACCAGGTTCTTCTCCACCAGCTCCTTCCAACGGAGTGAAGATCAACCTCTTCCTCCGCTTCCCCCCGTGGGTACTACGTCGAATACTTTCAGAGCTAGCGACATGAACAAGAATGAGTAATTCTTTATAGAGACCAATGAAAAAAAAAAAAAAATCATGATTCCTTTTGTGATCCAATGGAAAATAAAGGTGTTCTTGACACACTTTTCAATGGTATCAAAGGATGGAAATTTGCTGTATTCGACATAATTCAACAATAGTTCAAGGGAAGCTATAGTGTAGCGTAACGAGTCCAAGTTTTTGATAACATTCTGAGGTTTTCAAAAAGTTGATAAATCTAACCAAAATAACCATTTAGAAAAAAAATACGTATACAACCAAATTTAGATCAATTGTGAGTTATATATTCCCATAAGTTATCTGCAATCTTAATATACAGGGTAACCTAATTCAAGGTTGAAAAATAGCTGAAGATTTTTTGTCCAATAAAATGCTATCATCAGCCCCCGTTCTATTATGCCGACATTTTTGAATCTTAAATTTCTCATTCCATTCAAAAATACCTAATATAGAATAAAATTTTGTATGTGAATTTCAATCTTCTTTTAATAACATAAAAATTGAATTAATCGAAGGAAGGCTTTGATCTTAACTTTGATCGTACAGTTTTTATGACAACTATATATTATAATCAAAAAAACATTTTTCCGGAGAATTTGAAAATGTCTTGCGAAGTAATGACATTTTCTATACAAGAACTTTATTTCGATCGATTAGCTTGCATGACAGTTTAGCATGGTCCGATAACGGCGACCCTAAGTAGTGAGTAACTTTTTGAGGAGAACATATGCAACATTTCAGACATGATAACTSAAAACTTAAGGGACTAATTCGCGTCTATAGGGACAGATGATCATTGTACACTTTACAAATTCGAMGTTATTATTACTACTGATATCTTTTTTTATTTTAACGTTATAAAGACTTACTTTAACATATGGAAGGGAAACTAAAACAAAAGTTTTTATATAAAACAGTTAAAGGGTTTCTAAATAATATTATAATGACCATTATATAAAAAAKATTTCAAAAGCTTTCAGTTCTAAATCTGATAGTACTAAGAACATGACCTCGAGGTAAGAATACCCTATAGACGGAAAGTGTAATAGGTGAGGAGGATACTAACTCTAACTATACCGCTGATTCTAAGATGGACTGCAGTGTAAAGGCGGAGGTATACAGCGAGGATTTTATATCTCTCTATCATTGCGTCTACTTAACTMAACTAACATCTTCCAAGTCATACTGCACCTGAGGATACGGAAAGCAAACATTTATAGACAGCCAAAGTTAGTAAACAAATATAGAAAKGCTTTATGGTGGAAGGTCAACTTTACTTCCGCTTTATGTTGTCATTATTTGGGTGYCCGGTCAAAAGCGTTTCTAGAAGAATTCCAGGCAACTCAAGACACAATTTAAACGTATAGTCCATAATAGATGCAAATCTATAACCATATGAAAGATAGRAAAACAACTAATGTCGAAATAWGACAAGACAAAAACTAAGKACTTATTACAGGAAAATTTCAGAGTTTTCCAATAAGAGTAATATGATTTCTTTTCAAAACAAAAAATAAAAAACAAACTCATTTTTATGGAAATTCAAATGTTTTTTTTTATTTAGTGAAAAGCACAATCGATACATGTTCTGAATATAACATCACTCAAACGGCCTGTTTTTTCAGGAACCAATTCAATCAACCTCATTTTCGAGTATTCCTTCACAAAATCAAATCTTATGTCAAGAATAACATGATCAATGTTGATTTCAAAAGCTTGAATAAAGTATAGTTTACTGTTAAAAATCAATGACTTCAAATAAGCCCTCAAGAAGTGGTCTTATGGTGTTAAATCACAACTTCTTGTAGGCCATTCAGTGCCACAATTTCTTGAAATAAACAGAACCCCCAAACTTTTCTCGAAATAATTCGGTTGTTGCACGTAATGTGTGGCACACAGCCCCGTCTTGTTGGAATCAGATATTGTCAGGATCAACTTCTTCCAACCACGGCCATAAAAAGTTGGTTATCATCGATCTATACCGCTCTCCGTTCACAGTAACGATATAACCAGCTTCATTCGGAAAAAAATATGGACCGATGATTCTACCAGACCAAACGCTACACCAAACGGTCAAATAAGGTGAACGTATGGGTTGTTCATGAATAATTTGTAGATTTTCTTCTGACCARAATCAACAGTTTTGCTTATTTGTTGCACCACTCAGATGAAAGTGAAAACCATCGGAGAAGATGATTATCTTAAAAAAATCGTGATTGTTTCAAAGTTACGGTCTTCAGGAACACTTGCCTTAACRGCAGTRATATTTTCATTACTTCGGGCGGGTCTTTGACTTTTTAGCACTTGAACATTATACATATTCCTATAAGGAAAGCACAGGCTCAACACTTTCAACAATTCGATGAAYAGCAAACATAGGTGGCCTATTATTAMGACCATTAACAATTATTTTGATAATAAAATTAAATTATTAGTAAAARTTGTTCTTGMCTATATCTTTKCATGAYGRAATTGTAAACATTACTGTACACAATAAAAAATTCAGGTCAGGTTCATGACATATTAAAAATAGTTGGAGCGACAAATATATATGCAGACTAAATAGTACTAGGATAGGGATTTTCATTGAGGACACCATATGGTTGGAAAYGCTATGTACAAAGACTGAAATTACGATAATTTATCCATATAGTGCTAATTGATCAAGTAGAAACTGAAGAAAAAATGTATCCTCTCAAGTAGCCATTCTCCTCTCAAATCTAGTGGGTTGAAGTCTTTTACTCACATACTACATAATATTCCACACTCAAGGTCACAAAGTTACATCTGCATTATTATTTCATAAAAATTCTTGGTATTTTAAAAACAAGGATGTAGTAAACACATATGTAATGATAATGTAGTGCATTGAAAGCCCACACAGCAGGTAGAATTCTTGCTAGACACATTAATGGATTAAATTCTGTCACAAACAGTGTCACATTGTCCTCAACAACTCACAAGCATGTTTTTAAAAGAACGCATAAGAATGAAGCGGACGAATGAAATTGCAATTGTTCASAGTTTGACACCGCCAAGGCAGTGGAAGAGAATGCAGAATGGCAAAAGCTGAAAAGATTCGGTTTGAGAAAATATTATTCCACCACATTTCGGTTTTAGAATTTTTTTAAGAAACCCCGGGATATATGTAGCTATTTTATAAACATTCATATATACTTGGTATACTTATAGTATATAATATTAGGACTTTCTCGCAATCATATATACATTATAACCACTAATTTTTTTCTCTTTTTCTCTTTTGTTTAATRTTTCTTACTATTTCTTCGACGCCTCAGGACCAAACAAAACGCACAAAGCCTTCCACATTGCGACGCACACTAAATGCGCTGCGTCATCGTTTAACACGTCGCAGTCGTACCAAGCCGCCCGAYTGGTTTCTTGAGAAATTCTCCAATACAAATAATGTAGATAAAATTGGCAAGACTACAACGGCTACAACAACAGCCGCAGTTGCGGCTAGCGAAGAAGGCGCAAGTGGACCAACACCGGCGAATACGGCGCCAGCCGATGAGGGTCTATCCAGTGAAATWCGTGGCTCAAGTCGACTGTGTAATCGRCTATCGGTGAACCCGACACTCCAGTCACATTACAGGGTGAGTAGAAATATTACCGTTAATCGATTTTCTCAYCAAAATCAGCTGTATTGCCGACGTCACTAGGATTGCTACAGTGCCAACACTAACTCTTTTCGAATTATTAAAACCTTGATATATAACTCCCACTTTCTTCTTTTTTTCTTCCAGTGGCTTGGTATTGTATCGTTGGCTGTTCTCTATAACATAATCTTTGTGGTGGGTCGTTCCGTCTTCTGGGAGATAAATCATCGTGCTCCAACGGTATGGTACTTCCTGGATTATTTATGTGATTGCATATATTTAGTCGATACACTAGTACATATGCATGAGGGTAAGTCGCCAAAGCTTTAATTAACTATCTTAATTCCCTCTATAAATAAAATGTCCATTATTTATTCGTACCTATAGGTTACTTGGATCAGGGTCTGCTGGTGCGCGATGCTTACAAATTACGACGTCATTACTTTCACACCAAAGGTTGGTCCATCGACGTGCTGTCAATGCTGCCAACCGATCTCGCCTATATATGGTGGTCGCCGAGCTCTTGTAGTGCCGGTGGCTTACCTTGTCCCGTGATAGTGCGCTTAAATCGTTTGTTACGTGCCCCTCGYCTCTGGGAGTGGTTCGACCGTACCGAAACGGCGACGGGTTATCCGAATGCTTTTCGTATTTGTAAAGTGGTGCTCGCTATTTTAGTGTTGATACACTGGAATGCCTGCATGTATTTTGCAATTAGTTATTATCTCGGTTTTGGTTCGGACAACTGGGTATATAATTTGAATGGTCCAAGGAATAGTACATTGCAGAGACAATACATTTATAGCTTTTATTGGTCTACATTGACATTGACGACGATCGGTGAGACTCCAACGCCAGAAAATGATGCGGAATACTTGTTTGTGGTGGCAGACTTTCTGGCAGGCGTGCTGATCTTCGCTACAATTGTAGGTGAGTGTTTTGCAATGGACGTTTTGAACTATTATTACCAAMTACCAAGGTCACGGCTAATAAAATCAGAACAAAGTATTCTAAGATCAAGATCGACAACACGACCAAAAACAGGAGTGAGGGAAACTTAAAAATCAGGACCAAGGGCAAGACCAGCACCAAATCCCTTGTCAATGGCGAAGATTAAGACCAAGACCAAGACTAGGACCAAGACCAAGACCAAGACAAAGACAAAGACAAAGACAAAGACAAAGACAAAGACCAAGACCAAGACCAAGACCAAGACCAAGCCAAGACCAAGACCAAGACCAAGACCAAGACCAAGACCAAGACCAAGACCAAGACCAAGACCAAGACCAAGACCAAGACAAAGACAAAGAGCAAGCTCAAGAGCACAGACTACAACTACATTGTTTGCCCTTTAATATCTACTCTTAAAATCCCACATTGCAACGCCAATTACCTTAGTTTGTTCCTTCACAAATGAATTTTTTTACTTTAAAACGAACTCTTGAGCCCTCATCATCCTCTCGTTGCCTCACCTACAAGCAATTTGAAGTGCACTTTGCATGAACACTGGACTGTCAATGTCCTTAACCTTCGACTTCGCTAATGATTTCCCAGTACCCACACATAATGATGTANAAGACTAGGACCAAGACCAAGACCAAGACAAAGACAAAGACAAAGACAAAGACAAAGACAAAGACCAAGACCAAGACCAAGACCAAGACCAAGCCAAGACCAAGACCAAGACCAAGACCAAGACCAAGACCAAGACCAAGACCAAGACCAAGACCAAGACCAAGACCAAGACCAAGACAAAGACAAAGAGCAAGCTCAAGAGCACAGACTACAACTACATTGTTTGCCCTTTAATATCTACTCTTAAAATCCCACATTGCAACGCCAATTACCTTAGTTTGTTCCTTCACAAATGAATTCACCGTTAAAGGCTGCTTAGCTATTTTTTACTTAAAAACGAACTCTTGAGGGTTCCATCCTCTGTTTGCCTCACCCACAAACAATTTGAAGTGCACTTTGCATGAACACTGGACTGTCAATGTCCTTAACCTTCGACTTCGCTAATGATTTCCCAGTACCCACACATAATGATGTATATATATAACAATGTATTATATATTTCCTGCGTAGCCGTTGAATGCTTCCTTCCGTGAGTTATTGCTACTGATGACTTAATTGGTCATATTATGCCATCRAATAAAATGAATTGTTCGACCCTCAGTCACCTTCTGACGTTTGACATTGTCCATAGGATACATCAAGTTGTGTATTCCTGTTGTTGTTTATCTCTTTTCACCCTTTTTTCTACCTTTTCGCACTTAACGCGTCCTACATATTTGTCATTGATATACAAGTTGTTGGCGACGAATGACAGATGGTTGGCCGTCAGCACCAAACAACGCGCCACGTAGCCGCTTCTTACCTCATTCATCGCGCTGTCATACCTACGAGAAATTYGCGTGCTTATTGTTTGCTGTTTTCCTTGTTGGTCAAGTTAAGACTTTGTGCGCGTTGTTGTTGTGTCGGCAAAGAAATGTCATTCTAATGGTTGGCGTACGTGCTCACGGCAACGCTGTAATGCAAAATGCACGACTAGACTCTTTAACTTACACTGCAAGTAATGGAATGTTCTAAAAATAAGTTAAAGAGCATTTGACTAATCGAAAAGGTTTTAGATCATGCACTTTAAGAAGTTTAACCGAGAAATAAGCATCTATCATGAAGGACTGCGTCATAGAGCTTTCTAATACAACAAATTTTATTAGACAACAGCTTTGTCAGAAGTTCACATATGTGGGCATTGACGGTCGATATTTCAACATTCGATTGCCATAGAGCAAAAACATGATGGTCCAACACCGAAGACTAATGTTTAATGATCAAAGTAAATCAAATCATCACATCTGATCGAGTTTATCGCCTGTAGCAGTCTACTTTCACAAGAGAATTAAATTTCTGGCTCTTTTAGCTTTTCACAAGACTATCTACAACTTCTGAGTTTGGTCAATTATTACTATTTCCTTGTCGATAATTTCCAAGTCTTTCCTCTTAAGTATTAAATCTCACTTGAAAGTTCTTCYTTAAGGACAACACAAAAGTTTGCCCGCCTCATTAGAAAACTGCACACCAAGAAATGAAATCGAGAAACCTTTTCTTCTAGCCCTATGTTAAAAGAAGCCTTATCACAGGCTCAGTGACAGCTAACGGTTATTACTTGTTACGATTGGGATCCATCACAAGAAACGATACTTTCCTTTAAGATCCTTTAGATTTGGTTCGAGGTTCGGAACTCATTCTCTTTCAGTTTCTTAAAAATAGACAGCCGACTGCTCTATGAATTTTTAGTGTAACAATTTATTTCTTAAAGGCAAAAATTTACTTGTTGGTGGAAGAATTGCCGAAATCCTAAAAAAAAAGTCGCAACTTGTATCGACCTGACCTAACACACTTCAACCCAAATAAAACCTGAAAATAACTCATTTTAAAAGCCCGAACTAGTTGTCATTCCATAATTTTAGCTTGGCCATAAAAAACATGACAGATCTAATTTCTACATTTTCCCTAAACCCCCAGGTAACATTGGTTCGATGATTTCCAATATGAATGTGGCACGTGTCGAGTTTCAAAACCGCATGGACGGTGTCAAACAGTACATGGCCTTCCGGAAGGTTGGCCATGAGTTGGAGGCGCGTGTAATACGTTGGTTTGCCTACACTTGGTCCCAGAGTGGAGCGCTCGACGAGGAACGCGTGCTGGCCGCACTACCGGATAAACTGAAAGCGGAGATTGCCATACAAGTGCACATGGACACACTAAAACAGGTGCGCATTTTCCACGACTGCGAACCGGGACTACTGGAGGCACTTGTGCTGAAACTAAAACTGCAAGTCTTCAGTCCCGGCGACTATATTTGTCGTAAGGGCGATGTCGGCAAAGAAATGTATATAGTGAAACGAGGCAAATTGTCGGTGGTCGCAGACGATGGCGTCACAGTGTTTGCAACACTTGGCGCCGGCTCAGTTTTCGGTGAGGTGTCAGTGTTGGAAATAGCAGGAAATCGCACCGGTAATCGACGTACAGCGAATGTACGTTCACTAGGCTATTCGGATCTCTTTTGTTTGGCGAAACGTGATTTATGGGAAACGCTGTCCGATTATCCGGAAGCGCGTGCCACACTCACGGAACGCGGCTGTCAGCTGTTGCGTAAAGATGGTCTACTGGACGAGAGCGTTTTTGCGGGTGTGTATTAAGAAAAGTGAACTATTCAAGTGTATAATAAGTGGAAATGAGACGAAGTTTGTGCAAATCTGTATGGAAAACTTTTTTAATTTACAGATTCACAACGCGCGCACGACAGCATCGAGTGCGGCATCGAAAAGTTAGAGATGTCCGTGGAGAATTTAAATGTGCGGTTGGCACGCTTACTTGCCGAGTACACAGCCAGTCAGGCGAAACTGAAGCAACGGCTGGCGAAACTGGAATCAAAGTGAGTATGAGTGAAAGATGGAAGAGCGTTTGTTGCTGTAGGAAAACTGAAAACGCGTGAGAAGAGTTGAGAAGATGAACAGCTGGATGAATGGCTTGTGTTTCGTGAAAATTACACGCATAAGACATTGAACTTTGACTAACTTACCGGCATTTGTCTTCCAAGCACACACAAGAATTTCTGTAGACATTTAAAGGGGTGGTTCGTAAAGGAGCTTCTCTTCTTAATTGAAAATATTTCGGTTTGTCGTGAACGCAAGCACTAATTTTATTTATATCGTAGGTCGAGATTTCATTCATATCGCTCTGAAGAATGTCTTCCGATACCTTAAAAATGTCTACCACTGTAAGCCTAATTACTCAATCGCAACTCCAAAGTGACTGTACACAATTGATTAGATGCTTACGGAACCTTTTCCCAAGACAGTCTAGACTACATAACCGGATCATATCCCGATTAATAGTCCGTACAAAATCTGGTAACTCTACCGCAACTCAAAAAATATTTCCAGAAAATTTTGAGCCGGTACAATAACAGCGATTGCCGAACTTTATTCGAAAAAAAATCGGTTGTCATTTGAGTGCAATAACAGTTGATCTGCTGAAACCACAAAAACTCATAACTCATTTGTGAAGAGCGCAAAGTTGAAGAAAATTACGTTGCCTGAGTAGCTTCAAAGAAAGAGGATTTGACCTTAAAAATCCATTTTAATCGAAAATGAGTCCGCGTAGATACCATAACAATCTTTTAGCAAGGTTTTCTAAAATTAAAGAGCTCTCACTGAATGCAGCACCCTATAAGACTATCTTTTAAATTTGACGAACATTTCTAATTTTTCTATGTTTCTTTTCTCTCCCACACACGAACAYACATATAMACAGCTATCAATTAACCCACAACTCTAACGCCGGCATCAGCGTCGTCGAACCGCAGGCACGTCCACGCAGCGGGCGTCTCTACTCGCTGCAACTGAAGAAGCGTACGCGGCAAAAACATCTAACGGCATTCACGAAATCCAACGAGAGCAGCAAACAGAACACGCTGTAAGCGTGCCACGTTGTTGCATAAGTGATGCTGGCAATGCCAAAGCCAATGCCCGSCAAGRCCAACAACAATGGGCAGCAAATAAGCCAAATAAATGGAATTTCATTGCAAGCCGGAAGAAAAATTGCGGGGGCCCAATAACTAAGTGCAGAGGCAATGCTGGCAAAAGCCACGCGAAGCGTAAGTGGCACAAATTTATACGTGAATGTATGCGTGCGTGTGTGTCCACCCACCGTTTGTCCTTCGAATGTGGCTTTGATGCGCTTTGTTGTTTGTTTGCCGAAGTTGTCGACTTGTCAGCTTTTATTTTCACGAAGTGAAGCCAAATGCAGTTRTCCGTTGGTCCACTATTACGCAAGGCAACGCCAACAACCAAACAGCCACCTTCCCACTCTTCAGTCAACTTGTACGTGCCGATGCTCTGAGATGCGATACTAAATGGTGATAAATGAATTGAAATTCACAAAACTTAAGTAAATTGTAAGTTTAAGCTAAAATTACAAGGAAATATATATATGCTTAAGTGAATATATATAATATATAAATTTCAAATACATACATATAAATTCAATTTGCATTTACATATGCATATACAAGTATAAAGACACTTAGAAATATTTATATTTAAGTAAACGTATATAAGATTTATCGAAAGAGAAAAACTGATTTATACACAAAAGCAAATTCATCTACATATATATATATGAATGTGTATGTATTTATGTAACTATTATATTAAAGTATCGTATAGTTTAGTTTTAAAGCAAACCACAATTTTATATGTATTGATAAACGAGTTATAAAAATTTTGTGAAATTCTGTTTATTATTGTGTTTAAAAGTTTATTAAATTCTAATATATTTGAATAAAATAATTTTACAGTTCAATAATGAKAATATTTTCAAACTGGTGGCCATAAAACTTCAACGAACAAACCAACCCATTGGTATGTCATCATCAATTGAAACATATTCATATTCCAATAATATTTTATTTGACAGGGCATCGCATATATAGTATTTATGTATATCGAGGTCACTTTTTCGAAGAAAAAACAAATAAGTTTCAAWTTTAATGGGAATATTTGTTATCATTCGAAAAAACATTCTTCGACATTATTTTTTTAAGATTATMTCTTTCAAATGTTGTGCGTGGCTACATCTCAGATGGTCCATCCGTTGAATACAATTTTCGATGACTCTTTCGAGCATTTCGACTGRTAACTGGCGAATGACACGCCTGATGTTTAGCTCCAAGGCTTGAATCGAAGCGAGTTTGTCCGCRTAGACTTTAGACTTTACGTATCCCCGAAGTCCGACATAAGCATTCGTAGAAAAGTGAAAGATTTGTAAACGTTTTTCAGGCGTAAATCTTTCCGTGATGAAAGGTCAAACAATACTGAACATATATAACATGAGAGCTTGACACCGATCTTGCGTGATCTGTCAAAAAACGGCTACTGAAAAAAAGATCACTACTTTAGTCACCCGCATTGTTTCCAAAACTATACTTTGTTGACCACTTTTAGGAGTTACTAATTATTCTCGTAAAAGCTAAGTGAGATTCAACATTATCATACTCAAAAAAAGTTTTTTTGTTTTTTTGACAGGCCCGAAAGATATATTATATATTATATATTGGAAAATGTTTCAAAACTATACCAAAAATACACTTTTCGACTCTTTTAGGAGTTAATAATTATGCTTGACACTTACAAACGGTTTGAAAAATTCAATGGGCATAACTGAAGCTTACCTTATAAGATAGATTCGAAATATATATTATATATACAATTCGAATATATCACCTATTTCTGCCTTTTGTTATATATAAACTACATATATGTTCAAATAAGTTCGATCCCTTCTGAGGCCTACAAAAAATATATTACTTCTTGTTTTCTAGCATGGACTGCAGAAAGCAAAGGTATGTTTTGCTGCAACCAAAATATCTCCCTATAAATTTCGTTTCTGATTTGGAATCGTTTAAAAAATGGAAATACATAGCAATGATATAAGTGACGAATCACCGACGTATATTTTATATCAAAATATAAGAATGAAGAAATTTATATTCCAATATACTTCTTTTCAAACAGTTTCTGCTCAGCCGTTATCACGATAACCAGCTTTGCAGTCAACTGCTTGAAGCTACATCGCCTCCTAGGGACAGCAGGGAAACATTCCGCCAACATGTCGATTATCTGAATCAATATAGCGAACAAATTTTTCATAAATATCTGAACGCGAATCACATTAGAGCTATTAACTCATTCCTTCCCAGTGCATAGCATATTTTCAGCCCAAATACCACCCGCAGAAGAATAATAGTTCGAATTGCCGCTTAAAACCAGTGTGACCCATAAGCAACTTCGTTTTGGACAAGGTATTCGGTTAAGCTCCTACTTATCCAGAATAAACTCTGACGTACAAAACATATATCCTGCCACATCAAACTAATCACCTCTTAGAGCGTCCACTATAATCAACTCCCTTAATGGTTGTCAAGATATCTCGAGAAACTACTCTCAAGAAAATATTCTCTCATAATTTCAACATATATCTCACACATTGACCGGTATTTTCGGAAAACAGGCAACTATAAGCACTGGGTCCACATATTCAGTACTTAGTAGCTTAAACAATTTTGAATCGATTTTAGACATAAGCTGGCACAKYAMAAMYGMACTTTTCRCTCAAAGCTTTATCGTGATATATTRATTCRTTCTTTACKTATAGACTGGAAAGTGAATGTTTCAAATGGAATTTAAAATTGTGTTATATGAGAAGTAATAGTYCGATTTCGCCCATTTTCACACTGCAACATAAAACTGTCAGCCGAATGTAAAGTACAAATTTTGWTGAAATCGTTTTGGCGATTGTTCAATTTTGACCCCGGCTCCATTCAAAGCCTCTTATACTATCTCGAGAGTAAAATTTCAYKTCCTTGGCRTAGATATTTASTTATTGATTTATCGCGCTTGTAATAATTTTCCATAGTACCGTTATATGGGGATTGAGCGGAGGCATCGTACGATTTTATCCATACACCCACTGTCGGTAGGCGTTCTCATAGTATTTGGTCACGCGAATTTGGTTATTGTAGCTTTAGTGGCTTAGGAGATATGTACATTGAACTTGAACTTATTTAAAATTTTCGGCCCACCGATATTTAATTTATTATTTGGATATAGCATTTTATGAGTTTGGCCGTAGCAACATGTTGCACGAGTGTAATTATAATTTTATAGATGTTCGTGGTACTAAAATATATCATGAATGAAGACACTATTATTTTTTACTAAACTTAAGCAGAATAAAACTAAATGTGCCTCAAAGGAATACATATTGTATTGAAAAATAAAACACAAAAAAATATATATATATATTTCGAACACTAACATATTCGGAGAGAATAAAACATTTTATTGAAAACACTACTATATATATTTATATACTAAAATAAATCACATAATTTGGACCAAATTATTTTAACTCTCTTCTAAAGTCATAGTAATACCAACTAACATAATAATTACAAGTAAGCTCTAATTTTATTAACTTCGAAGTCAGACAAAAATGTGTAAATACCCATTTTTTAACAGCAGTGACGGATCAAACGGAAAGGTTTTAAGACCCAATGACGGATTTTTATTCAAATTCAAAAGAATGTGCACAGTAATTCAATAAATGTGGCCAGGAAGAAATTCTAGATCCGGCACTGTTTATAGGTATTGGTTTTTGAATGAAGTATATGTATGTATATGTAATTAAAAGCTATTATGAATGCCTCTTAAATTAACATATGTTATATAAATATAACAAATATAGTTTTTCTCTAAATAAATTTTTCGTTTTATGACATTATTGTGTTATCACACTAATGAATTATAAGAAATGAAAACCATTTTATAAATGTTAAATCACTAATAGAACTTAAACAAAAATCTTCGAAWTTCTTTTCATCTTTCTTGGAGAAAATTGGTGTATCTATAAAATAAAAGTGCATATCGATTAAAATTTTAACACTAACCTATAATAACTACGATGTCTTTTGCTTACTTCTAGAATATAAGAACTTTATATTTAGTATTAAAAATAAGTAACGCTTTAAGAAAATTAATTTTGGATTAAAAAACCCAAAGAATTTCTTATAAAATTCTATAATATATTCTCGGAGTATATATGTTTGCACAGTCTTTAATTGACGGATGCTCATACCAATTTTTTAACTATGAAAAAAATATTCGAAAAGCTTACCGTCATTTTGACACTTGCGAAAGTTAAGTTGGAAAACTATGTGATAGTAGAAAAAATTAGTGAAAGTATTAATTTAGATAACAAACAAGGGGCAACAAGAAAATATTGCTTCAAAGACGGGATCTATAAAACATTCGAGCGAAGTACTACGAACGAAAACCTTCTCAGAAGTTCATAAGGCTTARTAATCTTACGGAGTTGATTGAAAACTCTTATTAATATCCAAACAACATTCTCGACTTCAATTTCGCATATTGTAGATTGTTAGGGAACGAAGCGCTTATCGTCTAACACACGGTCCAGAGAAGTTATTTCTAGCCAAAGCTTTATTTATGAAAAATAATGGGTGATCCATTTTGAATTTTCCTAATTAAAAAACAAAAAAAAATTGAATCTTCTAATTTAATTAAGAAACATTCTTTGGCATTTATTTTTTGAAGATTATCTCTTTCAAATGTCTACGGCTAAATCACAAATGCATTGAGTCAAATTCTCGATGACTCGTTCGACCATTCCGACTAGTAACTCRCGACAGACATGCATGGAAGCCGGATTGTCAGCCTAGACTTCAAACTTTACATATCCCCAGAGGAAAAAGTCTAACGGTGTGATATCAGACGATCTTTGTGGCCAATCTTTCAACCGAAGTGTTCTCTCAATAAATCCATTGATTGTTTCGTCTTGTTGAAACCAAATGTCGCCGAGATCACGAACTACAATTTCCGGCAACAAATAGTCTGTTATAATGGCGCGATAATGGTCACCATTGACGGTGATATTCTCACTGGCATCATTTTTGAAGAAATATGGACCGATGATTCCACCGGCCCACACAACACAACAACCAACAACTTTTTTTTTTTTTTTTTTGGATGAAATAGCAGCATTGGAATCTCTTCAGATTTTTCTTCGTTCCAAATACTACAATTTTACTTGTTTTCATACCCATTGAGACAGAAATTGCTATCATCGCTTAACTAAATTTGGATCGGAAACGTCCCATCTTCGTGGAACTTTTTAAAAYCCCATAAATCGAAGGGACGCCGCTTCAGTTCTTGTCCAAGTAGTTACGAACGATACCGAATCGACCCTGCACGGTCTTCGTGTACACTCTCATCTACAGCTGCTATATTTTCTTCAATGCGTTCCATAAGTGGTATTTTCAGTTGAATATTACTTATTCAATAATGAATGCTGCGTCTCA